TTGTCAGCATGCATGTGTATATGTACAGTTTGCAGTGAGGCCAGAAGAGGGTGTTGGACACCCCGGAACTGGAGTTAGAGATGTTCGTGAGCCTCCCGGTGTGGGTGCTGAGAACTGAACTGTGGTCCTCTGGAAGAGCAGACAGTGCTCTTAACTGCTGAGCCATCTCTCCAGCCCCTTGAGTACTTTCTCGTTTCGGGGCAAAAGTACACTTTTATTGTGACTGTCCTTGGCTTTGGAGAAGATGTTCCTTCAGGGAGTCCTGGTTCCTTTCAGTGGGGGATGGGTTCAGAAACTGAGAAGGTAGAGGCAGGTATCGTGCCTACAGGAGCTGCAGTAAGGGGTTGGAAGCTTCTGGATCAACAGTTGGAAGTCAGTCTGGGCTGCATAGCAAAAGAGATCCTACCCTTAAAAAAAAAGAGGGGGCCAGCACCTGGGAGGCAGAGGCAGGCAGATCTCTGTGAGTTCGAGGCCAGCCTGGTCTACAAATCTGCACAGAGAAACTGTCTTGAAAAGCAAAAAAACAAAAAAACAAAAAAACAAAAAAAAAAGAGGGGGTCAGGGAGGGAGGGAGGAGAGCTAGAGAATGAAAAGTTACTGGGAGCATTCTCCACTCTTTATTTTTATTAATTAATCAATTCCCTAGATTAATGTATTTATTGTTATTTGGAGGTGGGGGACACGTGTTTTGACACAGGGTTTCTCTGGGTAACAGCCCTGGCTAACCTGGAATTCGCTTTGTAGACCAGGCTGGCCTCGAACTCACGGAGACCCGCCTGCCTCTGTGCTTTTATTTGTTACTGTTTGCTTTTGAGACAGTTTGGCTCTGTAGCTCAGGCTGGTCTCCAACGCTGTCCCTCTCCCTTCAGCGAGCTTTCTGCTGTCGCACCTGGCCCTGATTTTATCCCTTGATTGTACAAGCTATTAACATAATTCCGCAGTTCAAAGTCATGCAAAATTGTGCGCTCTTCCTCTGCTCTACCTTCTCCCTGATGCAATCAGCCTCACTTGTTTGCCGGTTGTCCTTCTCATGCTTAGTTTTGCAAAAACAAGTAGAGGCACGTGTGCGCTCTCTCCTCTCTCTTTCCCATTTCAACACTGAGGACTGAATTTAGGGCCTCATCTGTGCTAGACAAGTGCTCCCCTGCTTCCACATCCCCAGCCTGGGGGTTCTAGGCAGGAGCTCTACCACTGAGCCACATCCCCAGCCCCTCACTGGGGAATTCTAGGCAGGGGCTCTACCATTGAGCCACACCCCCAGCCCCTCACTGGGGGATTCTAGGCAGGGCTTTACCACTGAGCCATGTCTCTAGCCCCTCTCTGTAGGATTCTAGGTCAGTGTTCTACCACTGAGCCACAACTCTCACCCCCCCTTTTTGTCTTCATTATTTTGATATGTTCTCACTACATTGTTCAGCTTGGCTTTGAATTCACAATGATCCAGGCTGTCTATGAACTTTCAGATGTTGGTCCTCTGCAAGAGTACCAAGTACTCTTAAGCTCTGAGATATCTCTTGAGTCCTCCTACTGTGCTTTTTTTTTAAATTACATTTTTATATGTATGGATATTTTGACTGTATATATGTCTGTGAGCCATATGTCAGCCTGGTGCCCACAGAAACCAGAAGAGGATGTGAGATTCCTAGAATTAGGATTGTGGGCAGTTGTGAGTTGCCATTGTGCTGGGAATTGAACCTGCGTCCTCTGGAAGAGCAACCAACACTCTTAACCATTACACCATCTCTCTAGACCTCCTAGTCTGTTCTTAAGGCAACCTAAATTTGATCCCCAGAAACCACTTAAAAGTAGAAGGAAAGAATAGACTGTGGGCTGGAGAGATGGCTCAGTGGTTAAGAGCATTAGCTGCTCTCCCAGAGGACCCAGGTTCAATTCCCAGCACCCACATGGCTGACAGCTCACAACTGTCTGTGACTCCACTTCCAGAGGATCTTTCACCTTCACACAGACATAGTCGGAGGCAGAAAACACCAATGCATACAAAATAAAAATAAACAATAACAAAAGAATAGACTGTATATAGCTGTCCTTTAAATTCCATATGTGTGCTGTGTTAGGTACAACCACCCCTTCCAAACACACCATCCGTTCTCATACAGTAACAAATACCTTTTAGGATGATCCCTTCTTTCATGCTTAAGAGTACATTCTAAACCAGTTATGATGGTGCAGCCTTTAATCCCACCACTTGAGAGGCAGATGGAGGATCTCTGGGAGTTTGAGGACAACCTGTTCTACATAGTGAGTTCCAGGAGAGCCAGGGTGAGAGAGAGAGAGAGAGAGAGAGAGAGAGAGAGAGAGAGAGAGAGAGAGAGAGAGAGAGAGAGCTTGAGACTCAAAACAACGAACAAAAAAGTACATTCTCTATACCCCTATGCATATTTTCTGTTTTCTTTCATTTTAAATTTTGTTTATTTATCACATGATTGATAGATTTTGGAGACAGAATCCAGGCTGACCTTGAACTTCTGATCCTTCTGCATCTACCTCCCCAGTACTGACTGGGGATTATAGGCATGCACAACTACACCTGGCTACATGTCCTGTAGGAGAGATGGAACTCAGGGTTTCATGGATACTAGGTACTCACTCTACCACGGAACTATACTCAGCACTTTCCCATATATTTGTTTGTGTGTTTTTGTCTTTTCAAGACAGGGTTTGTCTGTGTAGTCCTGACTGTCCTGCTCTGTAGACCAGGCTGGCTTCAAACTCAGAGACTCACCTGTCTCTGTTTCCTGAGTGCAGTGATTAAAGGCATGAACACTTGCCCATGTTTCTCAAAGGTTAAATATATATCCAAGAAATAAAGGAAGGAAGCAAAGGATTTATTTGCTTGTGCATGTGTAGCACTCATGCCCCTGGAGAGATATTGTCAGGACTGGGTAAAAAAAAGATGAATTTTGTTTTAATTTTTAAGAGTATGAGTGTTGTTTGGGCGTTGGTGGCGCACGCCTTTAATCCCAGCACTGGGGAGGCGGAGGCAGTCAGATCTCTGTGAACTGGAGGCCAGCCTGGTCTACAAGAAGAGTATGAATGTTGGTCTGCATGTATGTCGGCGCACCGTGTCTGCAGTGTCCATGGGGGTCAGAAGAGGGTATCAGACACCATGGAACTGGAGTTACAGGCGGTTGTGAGCTGCTGTGTGGATGCTGGGAACTGAACTTGGGTCCTTTGCAAGAGTAACAAGTACTCTTAATGGCTAGGCCATCTTTCCAGCCCCTAACGAGTGCTTTTGTTTTTCATTTACTAATTACTGAGGGGTACGTGCAAGTACCGTAGAGCTGGTTTAGAGGTCAGAAGACGACTTGTGGGAGTCAGTTCTCTTTCTGCCGTGTGTATCTTGGGGACTGAACTCAGGTCTTCAGGGTTGTCAGCAAGTGACTTAGCCCCTGAGCCGCCTCAGCCTGTGAGATTCATAGGCTGTAAACGTTTGCTGCATAACTCACATAAGACACGCCTCATGTATTACCATGACTTTTGGGAGAACCAAGGCTGTGCAGTTAGTTATTCCCTTAGCTGACTTGAACAGATCCCTCGTACTGGGTTATAGACACTTTCGAGCTGCCACGGTGGCCCAGAGAATGGGTCACAGGTCCTCCTGAAGAACAGCCAGAGTTCTTAACCACTGAGCTGTCTCTCCAAGCCTCCTAAGAATACTTAACACTGTGTGTGTGTGTGTGTGTATACACGCATTCGGGTGTGTGCAAGCATGCGCACAAACGCCAGAGGTTGACACGTGGTATTGCTCGCTCTCCGTCTTATTTTTGCTTCCAACCTCCCTGGGTCTCATCCTCTCGGACTTGAAGACGTATTTCTTTTTTTTTTTTTTTTTTTTTTTTTTTTGGTTTTTACGAGACAGGGTTTCTCTGTTTTGTTTTGGAGGCTGTCGGTCCAGCCTGGCCTCGAACTCACAGAGATCCGCCTGCCTCTGCCTCCCGAGTGCTGGGATTAAAGGCGTGCGCCACCACCGCCCGGCTGAAGACGTATTTCTTTGATCACCTTGTTCTTCTTATCCCAGACGTCTCTGTTGCCTCTCACGGACCCCACGGTGCTGAGTGAGGCAAGCTTGTTAGCACACGTCACCGTGCATGGGATGTGTGGTCATTGTCGTGTCTTGTACCTCTTTCAGGTGCACTGAGGTCTCAGATGGCAGGTGGGGGGATGGGGTGAGGGCAACTTGTATATTCCTATGTGGGTTCTCTGTACCCAAACGAGGCCTGCCTGGAACAGGGGTCCTTTGGAACACAGAACTGAAGTCCGACCTGGAGTGTGTACACAGGCTTGTCGCGAGAGCTACATGGGGAGGCCGAGACAGGAGGATCGAAAGTTCAAAGCCTGTCTGGGCAGGTTTCTGAGACCCTGTGCCCAAAAGTAAAAAGAGGGCTGCCCGGAGCTCAGTGGCAGAGCTCCAACCTGGAATCCGCTAGGGGCTGAGAGTCAACTGTAGGCTATCTGGCTACAATTCACCAGTAGGGCGCCCATGTCGTAGCCTAGTGATAGAACTCTTAGCTGGATTCCGTCGGTGTGGAAGCGTGGCTCAGCGGTAGGAGTCCCTCATAGAATCCACCGGTGAGAGTCTGAGGTTAAGACCCAGCAATAGTCTTGCCTAGATTCCACCGGGAAGGGGCGGGGCTTGTGACTCAGCGGTAGAGCGCTTGCCTAGAATCCTCGACTGTGAGGTTGGGGTGTGGCTCAGCACTGGGACAGCTTGTCTAGAGTCCTCTCGTTGTGTGCGGGGGACATTGCTCAGAGGTAGAACCCGTGCCTGAATCCCCCACTGATGAGGGGAAGGGGGGATAGCTCAGAGGTAGAGTCTAGAATCCTCCGGTGGAGGGCTGGGGGTGCTTGCCTAGATGTGGTGCATGCTGGGAAGAGTGCTTAAGGCTAGTCCTAGACATGGGACAGAGCCGGAAGGGAAGTGGTGAGCTGGATTTTAGGGGTGCTCCGTTCTCACGTTCCTGGCACCCTTCTCCCCTCAGGCCTCTCCCTGGTGGTGGGCTTGGTTCTGTACATCTCCAGCATCAACGACGAGGTCATGAACCGGCCCAGCAGCTCCGAGCAGTACTTTCACTATCGTTACGGGTGGTCGTTTGCCTTCGCTGCTTCGTCTTTCCTTCTCAAAGAGGTGATGTGTTGGGCCCAGACTACCAATTTGAAGGAGGAGGTGGGGGTGTCGGGGTGTTCCAGTTCCTGGGGGTCTTAAGCAGAGGAGGTCGTCTGGGTTTGTGGGGGCAAAAATAAACCCTGAGGTTTGGACCTTCTGAGGTCTCAGAGGTGGGAGTCCTGGCTTCTCGGAGAGGACGAGCCCTGGGATGATGATCTGATTGATCCCTGTGCCCAGGAGGAAAGGAATTCTGTGGGTTATGAGGAAGGCGGGGGGGGGGGCGAGTGTGGGTCTAATCCCTGGGTCCTAGAGAGGAAAGAGTCTAGGTGTTCTAGCCCCTGGGAGTCTTGGAAAGGAAGAAGCTGAGGACGTTTTGGAGGATGGGGGAGCCCTTGGTCCAGAACAGAGGTGGGAGGACCGGTCTCTCTACTTTGAAGCGGGAGGGTCTGGCAGTCTGACTCCAGGAAGAGGAGGCTAGGGGTGTGCCTGCATTATGAGACAGGTGGGTTAGACTTTGGGTCCAAGCTCTGGTTCCTGGAGGAGATGAGGTCTGGGGCCTCTTGGGTTTTGCAGAAGTCTTGGGTGTGCTATGCAGCCGCGGGTTTTGGTTCTGGGATTCTGACCGTGCCTTGCCACAGGGGGCCGGCGTCATGTCAGTGTACTTGTTCACCAAGCGCTACGCGGAGGAGGAGATGTACCGCCCGCACCCGGCCTTCTACCGCCCGCGTCTCAGCGACTGCTCCGACTACTCGGGCCAGTTTCTGCAGCCCGAGGCGTGGCGTCGAGGCCGCAGCCCTTCGGACATCTCCAGCGACGTCTCCATCCAGATGACGCAGAATTACCCTCCAGCCATCAAGTACCCCGACCACCTCCACATCTCCACTTCACCGTGCTGAGGCCGGCCCCCCTCCCTCCCTCCTCCTCCTCCCCGTCCCCGGTGCCTCCCCCTGCAGCCCCAATCCCTTAAGGGATTCTGGGCTGAGGGGATGCTGTGCCATCTCCAGGCCCCAAACCGGCACCCTCATTTCAATGGCTCCACCCTCTCTGGTCCATTATGCTTTCGAATGGTCCCCCCACCCCTACCCTCCACTCCCAGCCCACGGAGAGCCTGTTCCTTCTCCTGGTCCATCCCCACCCGGTATTTCCAATCCGGTTTACTGTCCTCTTGGTGGTATCTTGCACCTAGCTCCCCCAAAACCCTCCAGACTCCCGCTTCCATGCAGGGGTGCTGGGCTGGAGATTGGGTGTGAGGGCCACTAGAAATGCCCTTGAACTCCCCCTCGATTCTCTCCTAGTACAACACCTCGTGCCCTGCAGGTCGTTGGTGGCCGTGGGTGGGTGGGGAGAGGCTTGCTCTGCCCACATCTGCTGGTTCTGTCAGGGGCTGCAGGGATATGACTGTATGGCTTACCTTGACTTTTCTTTTTCTGTCGCCTCCGGGAGACTGCTTTCTCTCTTTCTTTTGTCCTCTGGAACTCTGGAAGGTGACTTTCTCCTTCTCCTTCTCCTTCTCCTCCTTCTTCTTCTCCTCCTCCCCTCCTTCTTCTTCATTCTTTCTTTCTTCTTCTTCCCTCCTCCTCCTCCTCTTCCCTCCTCCTCCTCTTCCTCCCCCACTCCCCCTTTCCTTCCTCCACCTGCTCATCCGAAGCCCCTAGGTGCATCCAACCTCTCACACCAAACAAGGATGGGACCCCAAGGTGGAGGGAGGTTCCTCATACTATCTCCACACCTGTGCCCGCCTCTCCCACCTCGAGGTCCCGTCGGGGGAGGGAGGGGCAGTAGCGGGGGTTCACACCCCCCAAAAAACCTCTGTCTTCCATTTTCTGGTACTCCCTTTCATCCATGCCCCTCTTCCCATCTCAGATCCCCAACTCTGGCCTCTTTCAAGGGTCCGTCCACCCCCTTGGACATATTCGGAGGGGGGGTTTTGCCAGGAAACCGCCCATCCCACTCCCTTTATTAGGGGAGGAGGGGCGAGGTAGCACAGTGTTAACACACGGAACCAGAATGGCCCCGGGGTGGGGGGAGGGGGGCAGGGGAGGGATGGGGGCTTTTAGTTTGCATCTTAGGGGGGAGGGGGGAGGGGGAACCGCAGCAGTTATAACCTGTCTTTACGCAGCGATTTTTAATGAGGCTGGGGGAGGGGGGAGGGAAGCAATAAGGGTGGGGAAATGGTGGGGTGGGGGGCCTGGCTCTGTTATTTACCGTGTATCATATGTAAATACCGACAGAAACTTCAATAAACTTTATTTCAAACATGTTTCTGCCTCACCAAAGGGAGGGGATTGGGCACAAAGGGCCTATGGTATTGGTTTCTCCTGAGGGTAAAGGGCTGTTATTCTGACTAGACCTTGCCACACCTTCAATCCCGGCACTCAGCAGGCAGAGGCAGACAGATGTCTCTGAGTTCCAGGACAGCCAGGATTATATAGCCATACTTGTCTTCAAATATAGAGCACCGCATAACCAGGGTTGCAGTTCCAAACTTGGGATGCAGAGGTAGGAGGATTGCTGCAAGTTCTAGGCAAACTTTGAAGCCTTTCTCAAAAACTAAAACAAGGGTCACCAAGATGGCTTAGCTGACTACTCTGAGCTTGCTGCCCAGAGCCTACTTGTGCAAGTTGGGTGACACACACTCACACACACACTCACACACACACACACACAGTGGCATGGAATGCTTGAGACCCCCTTATCCCTTCCCACATACTTTTAATCCCAGCACTTGAGAGGCAGAGGCATGCAGCTCTCTAAAGTTGAGGCCAACCTGGTGGTCTACAGAGTGAGTTCCTGTGTAGCCAGGGCTACACAGAGAAACCCTGTCTCAAAAAAAAAAAAAAAAAAAAAAAAAACCAGTGCTCATTATCAGCCAGGCATGGTGGCACTCAGGAGATGGATGGAAGCTGGAGGAACAGGAGTTCAAGGTCATCATGGCTGTGAAGAGTGCTTTAGGGGAAAGAGAGAGAGGGAGGGAGGGAGGGAGGGAGGGAGGGAGGGGGGGGGGGAGGGAGGAGAGGAGAAACGAGGTTATTTAGCTTACCTACGCATCACCTTATAATTCAGTCCCTGTTTGAGAATAAATGATGACAGGGTTAAGGTCAATACAAACAAAAACCCATCTCTTGCTACGCCTCTGACTGCCTACTGTGCTGTCAAGGGCACCCACACTGCTCTGTCTGACTTTCTTCCCATGCCCCCGCTCCCCCCCCGTTGAATTTACGGGACTCTTTGCGCCCGTTCAGCCAGCGAGGCGAACGGCTCGTCCGAGAGCTCCACACACACTGATAGCCTTGACGGGCACCAAGTCAGTCTGGCTCCCGAACCTGAGCATCCTTCCCGGGTACAAGGCGACAGTGGGCTTCCCGCATGCTGGGCTTCCCGCAGGCTGGGCTTCCCGCAGGCTGGACCCTCTCGCTACGTTTGAGAGACAACCACAGCTATTTAGTGTACAGCTACGGTGAGGCGGATGCTTCCGATCTGAACATAATCCCTTTAGTCATTCACCGTAGTGGGCATGCAGGAATTACCACTGTTTGTATAGGTGAGGGAGGGGGAGGTTCAAACCCTGGTTCTAAGAGCTGTGATTCCACTCTACTGAGAGACTCAGAACAGCCAAATTACAAAATAGCTGATGAATTTATAGGTGAGCTGTCCCCCTTCCTCCCTTCCTCCGTCCCTCCCCCTCATCCAGGGAATCAAGGACCTCCTGAATGCAAGGCTAGAACTCTGTAGCTGAGCCACGCCCCCAGCCCCTCACTGGGGCATTCTGGGCAGGCGCTCTACCACTGAGCCACACCCCCAGCCCCTTTATTGAGGGATTCTAGACAAGTCATCTACCACTGAGCCAGGACTGGGAGATTCTAGGCAGGGGCTCTACCACTGAGCCACACTCCAGCCCCTCACTGGGGCATTCTGGGCAGGGTCTCTACCACTGAGCCACGCTCCCAACCCCTCACTGGGGGATTCTAGGCAGGAGCTCTACTACTGAGACACACTCCAGCCCCTCACTGGGGGATTCTAGGCAGGAGCTCAATCACTGGCAACAGCCCCCACACACACCACCCCCGTGGCCCTAATGAGCTTAATCTTGAAAAATATTGGAAAAAAAGTATGCCTGTCTCATCTGTGCAATGATAATGACCCTGCAGCTATGACACCTGGGTCACAACCACAGTCATACCGAGGGAACGTTTTTTCACTTATTTTAGTCACTGGTTTCTCCCACCACCCTGTGAACTCAGCATTCCTGCTAGTCCCATGTGACAGATGAAGAAACCCAGGCATATAGGAAGATGAGGTTACCCGGCTATTAAGGTGGTGTGAGAGCTAGTCCTGCACCCAGACTTTCCTTGATTCGCAGCCATTAGCTGTTACATTAAAAAAATACGGGGTGGGGTGGGGAGGATGCACGCGGGGTGCTCGTGGCGAGGTCGGAGGATGGCTTTCAGAAGACAGTTCTCCCCTTCTGCCATGTGCTTCCAGTGAGGGAACTCAGGTCGTCAGCCTGCCGGCTAGCTCCTTTCCCCCACCGCCCAGCCACCTCGCCATCCCCAGCTGCTACATTTTACCACTGCAGATTTTATGCAAACTCATGCTGTGACCTTGAGGGAGTCTTTTTAATTTCCTAGGCTTTGGTTTCCTTTTCTATCTAAAAAGGAAAAAGAAAAAATGGGGGTGGCTTAGAATGATTCCAAATCCCTCTGGAACTGGGGAGGATGGTTTGGGGAGGTTCTCAGGAAAGAACTCAAGATTCAGCAGGGTCAGACTCCCCAAGGGAAATAATGTTCTGAGTCATTTTCCGTGATTCCAGGAATTTCTGAAGGTCAGGCTGGAGATTCGCAATGGCAAATACAGTTCAGCTTCTTTGTCGAGACTGAATGATTCCTGGTGTGGCTTAGAACACGGTGTTGGAAGGATTTGGGAGGAGAGAATGCCCCCAACTGTCGGTGCTGTCTTCCGTGTTGATCAACTGATTCTGTCTGCCCAGCCTGTAGCATGGGTGATGATGGTACAAGTGCTGGCTATTGCTATTTGTACAGAACATAGCAACCTACAATCTGGAAGCTGATGTTCTCTTTGAAGAAACACGACGCCATGGGGCTGTGGAGACGGCTCAGTGGGTAGGAGCACTTGCTGTCTGGGTATGAGGACTTGAGTTCAAATTCCAGGCACTCAAAGAAAAAGGTGGGCATGGCCACAGGGGCTTATAACTCCCGCACTTTGAGGGACTGGTAGGAGGGTTGCTAGTTCTCTGGCTTCTAGCTTAGGGAGCCAGTAGCAGAGCATGTTTCAAAAGAAATATGGCAGAGACACCCATTTCCTCCTCTGGCCTCTCCTTGTGCACATAGGTGTGCATATCTACACACACACACACACACACACACACAGGTCCATATACCACACATACACACATACATATACGCACACACACACACACAGGTCCATATACCACACATACACACAAACATACATACACGCACACATACACACACAGGTCCATATACCACACACACACATATATACACATACAGGTCCATATACCACACACACACACACAAGAAAGAAACAGACACAGGCTGGAGACACGGCTCGCAGGTTTAAGAGCACTGGCTGCTCTTCCAGAGGTCCTGAGTTCAATTCCCAGCAACCACATGGTGGCTCACAGCCATCTGTAATGAGATCTGGTGCCCTCTGCTGGAGTGCAGGTGTGCATGCAGATGTCAGACATCTCCCTCATCCACGACTGATGGAGGAGGGCTAGACCACTGTGGGCGGTGCCCCTACTGGCCAGGGGGTCCCGGGTTCTCCAAGAAAGCAGGCTGAGGGGCTCGAGAGATGGTTCAGTGGTTAAAGAGCACTGACTGCTCTCCCAGAGGACCCGGCTTCAATTCCCAGCATCTACGTGGCGGCTCACAACTGTCTGTAACTCCAGTTCCAGGGGAATCTGACGCCTTCACACCCATGCACACAAAATGAATTTAAATAAATTACTTTAAAAAAGAAGCAAGCTGAGCCTGTCCTCTGCATTCTTCCTTAGCTCCTGTGTCTGCTCCTGCTGCAGCCCCTGCCCTGGTTTCCCTCAGTGACTAACTGTGAACAGGATGGGTAATCCAAGTAAGCCCTCTCCCTTTTGGTCTCTATTTTGTGCTTAATTCAAGTTAGTCTTCCTTAAGTGATGAAGGGGTCTGCCGCGCCCGCTGTGCATCTGGTAGCCCCACAGGGGTCAGTACTGTGATCTGTGGCATTTGTCACAGCACCAGAAGGCAGACTAGGACAGACGGCTCATCTTGATCCTGGTGCACCATCCCATGTGCTAAGTCCTTCATAGAATAAGCAGGAGAAAACCAGCTAAGCGCCAGCATCTGTCTGGCTCTGCTTCCGGACTGGGGACGCAGCGTGACCAGCTTCCCCCAGCTCTGCCCCTGCTGTGGTGGACTGTGCCGTTATTTATTTACTCATTTACTATTTATTTATTTGAGGCAAGGCTTTTCTGTGTAGCTTTGGAGCCTTTTCTGGAACTCTCACTCTGTAGTCCAGGCTGGCCTCAAACTCACAGAGATCCGATTGCCTCTGCCTCCCAAGTGCTGGGATTATAGACGTGTGCCGCCACTGCCTAGTGAAATGTTTGTTTCTTTAAAAAAAATTTATGGGCTGGAGGGATGGTTCAGTGGTTAAGAGCACTGATTGCTCTTCCAGAGGGTACTGAGTTCAATTCCCAGCAACCACATGGTGGCTCACAACCATCTACAATTCAATCTGGTGCCCTCTTCAGGTGTGCAGGCATATATGGGGGGCAGAA